GCCCCTGCCCCTCCCCCCCCTCCCCCCCCCTCACTGCAGGAGAGCCCCGAGATCTACGGCCTCCACCCCAACGCAGACCTCACCTTCAGGACACTGCAGGCACGCCATAGGCAGCCCCGCCCGCGCACGCCCGCTCCAGCCTTAGCAGCTGCCGCCCGCGCGTCACCGCTCAGTGGTTTTGTCTGTGGCCGCTCGCAGCGCCCGCGCCGACCGCTTCACTCCTACCCAACCCTTGATGATACTGATCGCCGCTCCCCATTCGCTCCACCCCCCCCCCCCTGCACCCCCCAGGTGCGTGACGCCATGTCCACCATCCTGGACACCATGCCCAAGGGCGCCGGCGGCGGGGGCGGCCTCAGCCGCGAGGAGGCGGTGGACCACATCTGCGAGGACCTCCTGTCAAAGGTGGGGGGATTTTGGGGCGGCCCGGCGTTGCCTGGCCTGGGCTTGCATTGGCAGTGGGAAACCGCGGCCGTTTGCTGCTGCCCGTGTGTGTGACACCCCATTCTGTGGCGCAACGTGCGAAGGCGACGCGACAAGGCTCGCAAATCGTCACGATTTCTGGGCTCGTGGTGCGACGCACCGCCGCAGGTTCCGCCGCTCTTCGACAAGGAGGAGACACGGGAGCGCCTGCGGAAGCTGCCGGGAGGCGCGACGCAGCCGCTCACGGTGGGCGCCCGCGCGGTGCCTGCCTGCCCGCATTCCCCTGCTCGGTCCTCGCCACTGTTTGCTGGCCTCTGGGCCTGCGGCTTTGAGCACTTTTCGCAGCCACCGCTGGGTGCCAGCACTGCCAAGCGCATTACTCCACACTCAAGCCACCCATCCATCAACATGACGCTTGGCTGTCCACCCTGCCTATCTTGTCGCGAAGCGCAGCCCTGTTGAAATTGCACGCGTCCTGCCCCCCTTTCTCTCCCCCCCCCCAAGGTCCACCTGCGCCAGGAGCTGGACCGCATCAACGTGGTGCTGCAGGTCGCAAAGTCAACACTCACAAACCTGCGCCTCGCAATCGCCGGTGGGTCCCCCCCCCCCCCCCCCCC